AACCACGCGACGTGAAGTGAGGACCCGGACAGTGTAGTAAGTGAATGGGAGATGAGCACAGCTCAAGAGTTCGACCAAAGGCGATGGGGTTCAGCACAACCACCGCAAGCCATCTTATATACCTCGAAGACCCGCGTCCGAGAGAGGGTGCGTTGGGGTTCCCACTGCACAAGGCCGCCTTCGCTGACCTCCGCAAGCCTCCGCAGCTGCCTGCGCTAGAATCCAAAGCACAAAGGGTGGTTGCAACCCCTCGTTGTCGGGCAGCAGCATAGCAGTTGGAGCTGGTGGAGTCGCTAGATGGAAGAATCACGCCGCGCCTTGTTCCAAACGCGCGCGTGCGCAGAATGCATGCTAAAAACAGCTAAAAGCAAACAGGCGGATGCAGCAACCGAGGCGTCTTGCTATGCGCTCCGTCACTAGAGAATCGGGGCTCTTCGTGAGTGTGGTGATGCCAACATCTAGATCTGCGCTGCGAGCGAGGGTTGAGTTTGGACGCACCCGGCGACCGAGGTGCTGCTGCGGACGGACAACGATGAATGCTGCGCATCATCGACACGCCGCGGCCGCTTGTTTGAATCTGCAAAGCTCTGGCGATCTACAGTAAGTACTTGACGTGGTTGTGCGATATATTTAGGGTGATGCTGGAGTAAACGTCGCAGTGTATATCCCGTAAGTCCTGAACGGGAAACTCCAAAAGTGTAGTTGTTGCTACGCTAGCTGCAGAATCCGAGCGAGAGCACTGGCATCACAACCTCACAACCTACACGTTCCAAGGTTTCCATAGGTTTGTGGAGCGACCGTGCTTGTAGTGAGGCAAAGTTCGTCAAATGCGAAACACCGATGATCTACTACACCGCCGGACAGTCCGCGCGTGGAATTCAGGTGGTGGTAAAATCACTGGCGTCCAGCGCGAGATCACTTGGAATCCACCTGTCCGGAAAACACCTGGATTCCAATGACCTGACCATTGATTTGCCAAGGTTCGACCTCATGGAAACCGAAAGAAAAACTAGCCACAAAAATGGCAATCGTGGCCGGGAGCAATCCCAGTGCAGCACCTGCCACCCGCCGCCGCAGGCACGAGCTGCACATCGAGCCCCAGTCCTCCCTCATATATATTGAGCATTCGGGTAGTACTGTAACGAATAAGATCATGGTCATTGTTATTCAATGGCAGCCGTACATGCTAAGTACAAACAAAGGCCGTTGACGCACGCCTATGGCACTGGCAACGGCGGGGAGTGGGGGAAGGGGCGGGGAGTGGGGGAACTATTGACTACGTAGTAGGGCAGGATGGCCTCGGGAGCAAAATCAGCATAGCTGATGCAGGACGAGTGGAAGACTGGAGTCCCGCCATGCACGAGGTTGCAGGTGACAGTGTCGCGCTGAGCTGGCTGCTGGCATGGATGGATACAGGCAGGATGACTCACCGCCGTGACTCAAGAGAGCTTGTCATATTCTGAGCACCGGAGAGTGTGGTATGATGTAGACAGGAGAGACTCAGTACTCAGTAGTAGACGCAAAGGACAATAGAAGGGCAGCAGCAGCAAAGAGAGGGGCAGACCTCAGAGGAGAGTCAGAGACCTTGGTGACGTGGTCGTTGGAGACAAGATGAGCTCGCTGTCGAGCGCCCGAGACCCCCCTGAGACACCACCCCAGAGCCCGTCGGAAAAGCGCAAAGTGCGCATTCGAGCGAGCCAGCAGCCAGACTCTTGAATGCAGGGTGGATGGAGATGCGCCAGTGATGCGATCGCTGGAATCCAGGTGGCGCTAGTTTGTTTCCCAGCTGATTTCCTGGCGGGCGGAATCCAAGTGAACTTCCAATTGGATTCTTACATGATTGCCGTTGTAATTCACTAGATTTGCATCCCACCTGAATCCCACCTGCCATCTGTCCGGCCGTGTAGGGGAGCACAAGCCATGGATCAACGCTACGGGTGTGTCGCGAAAACTGGTTGATCGTTGTTGTCTGGCACTATTGAATGACCGCAGCAAGCCATCAACGACGAGTTTGATAATCCCTGGAAGACACTGCACAGATGGAGGGGGAGCAAGAAACGAGGGCGACCTCTCTGCGGCTCCTCTGGTGTACGGGTGGGCCTATACTGGTACGATGACTGTCGCCGCGCCGGCAAGCAACCAGCTATCGTAGTACACGCATTCCTGTGGATTGACGGGTCCCCCTGACTTGCAGAAGTCGAAGGTAGGGCAGCGTATGCAAGGTGTTTGGCCGCTCCCTATGGACGGGATGCGTTCCTCGCGGATGGCACGGTACACAACCCCGCCGGCGGACTGCAGCGTGAGGGCTGCCGCGATGTGCTGTTCGTGAGTGTAGAGTCGACATACGACGGTGTGTCGCCTGGTTTTCTGATTCAGTGTCGCTGGACATGTGATGCTTCGCCCTCCTTCGGCCACGCCGGTCGTCTTCGTTGTCTGTGTCACTATCCCGATGCCTCCGTCGGCGTTGCATCTCAGCGCTATCCGCTCCTTCGGAGCCGTGAGCGTGCTTCCGCTTGTTCAACTCCCGATCGTCATCTGACGACTCGACGCTACGTTTCCGCTTCAAGGAAGGTCCTGCAGAGGCAACGTCTCCTTCTCCGTCCTCTGCCTGCGTGTCATCATTGGGCGGCCAGGTCGGGGCGTGGAAAGCGGGTATCTGCATGGCAGCGCATGAGGCACGCTTCCAACTCCTTGACTAACGAGCACACGTACCTTCTCGATCTTGCCATCTAACACGAGTACGTCCAGTAGCATCTCGACATGATCCAAGGTCAGCATGGTTTCAGTGACTCTGCTTTTCTGCAGGAATGCCTGTACGACATGTCAAGGGAGTGCATTGGTTAAGGTTGGCCAACAGTACGCACCAGAACATGCTGCGAAGTGACGTATGGCGTGTCGGATATCGGATAGAGCCGTCTAATCTCTGGATGCTGTCCCGGTCTCCCTTTCGGGAAGGTCTGCATATATTAAGTCAGGCCGCCAGGCCTGTGAAACCACAACGCAACGTCGCACCTTCTCCTGGACAAGCTTCAAGCACACCTCTGACAAGAGCTTGATGAACTCCGTGTCAAGCTCCTTATCAGTATACCACGGTCCGCCAGTCAGCTCAGGAGCTGGCTGCAAGCTTGCTAGCATATAGATCTTGCGCGTTGGGTGCTACAGGCGCTGGTATGAGACGTCCGTTCTCATTTGCAGCAAAAGGAACGACCTACCCGCACGTCAGGAACGGTCTTGATCAGCTGCTTCTGGGTGAGGGATTTGAGGCATCGGTCGACTACGGTCTGGTGCAACTGTGTCTTGGCCTTGATGTGTTTCGTCCAGATGCCTGCGAGTGGAGCATGTAGTCAGTTCAGCAACAGCAAATCGCACACGACGAGCTTGCCGTCATCGCCAGCGGCGCGAATGCGGTCCAGCACAAGAGTCTCTTCATCGTTCAGACCCTTCTTCCTGTGACCGATATGGATATAAGCTCATGATTGTGGGCGAGATCACTCACAGGTTCAGCTCTTCCTGCGTAACGGCTCGGTACAATATCTGGGCATTCTCGCCTTTTAATACAACAAGCAAACCCTGATGAAGAGGACAGTCAACGGTCTGGATGATTCATGTGCGCATGTGCACATACCGTGCCTAGGAGGAAGTTCACGGCGGCGAGGCGTGCATTCGAATCTGGTGCAAGACTCTCCAGCTCCTTGGGCGTGATATTCTGCGGCAAATCTTGGTCAACGTCATATCTTTGTACGTATTGTGATCCTCGAACCTTGTCACTCTTGAGCAAAGCAGCTTGATGCAATTTGCGCTCGAGGGCATTCAGCTTGCGTGCACTCATGGTGGTCGTCGAGAGCAACGCGGTGACTCGGATGCCGCTGTGGCCCTGTGGGATGTCTATTATCTCAAACGTACGTAACAGCCCGATCCGGATCTGGAACCGGTTTGTCTGTGCGAGTACGATAGAGCTTCGTCTCCGCCCGTATGCACACAGAGAGGGACGATTTTCCGGTCGCTTAACGGGTAGTATACTCGCACCCGAGACTGTACAGGTTCCTCACAGGTCTTGACTCACGGTGCACTTAGTGAATTGTTGAGCGCAAGGTCAGTCAAGCAATTGGAGAACTAGTGTCTACTGCGGCGATGAGTAGTGAGCACAGGAGGCGTTACGGCAGACCACTAGGCGGGGTGACGGAGCATCATCACAAGCCTTGCGAGAAGTCGTTGCTCACGGTTGAATAGGTACGACGGCGCAGAGGGATAGAATTATGCGATTCGTATACATCACTGCCATCTTCATCGTCCCTCATCCCATGACCAGAGTGTGCACTTAGTGCGCGTGGTTCTTGTGGTGCTCTACGAGACGCACGATGAGACTAAACATGACACGACGACATTGTCAATGAACACTCACTGAGGTGCACTGCAGAGCCAGGGAGTAGGGCAGACAAGGAAGCACACACAGTCAGCAACACATCGCTCAGTCGAGTAAGACAAACGTACTCTGGTAGTCAATGGTGTACCCAAGACCGAAGATGCCGAGGATCGTGAAGAGGATGGGCGCGGCGGACGCGTTCTTGCCGTTGAAGTAGCGCGCCTTGATGCCTCCCCCAGCGGTCGTCGGCGCGGGGCCCTTGGGCAGCTTCGAGTAGAAGTTCACAAGGGGGCTAAGTCCAGCACCCGAGCCAGAGGACTGTTGGAGGGCGCAGCGCCGCCGTCAGCAAAATCGCTCGTGCTGGCGGAAGCTGACTCGGGCGTGAGCACTCACGAGCAACGAAGGGGTGGCAATTTTCGGCGGGACAAGGCCACCAAGTTGACGGCGGATGAGAGTGGGCTGCATGGTGAACGCGACCGGGCGTGCAAGACAGAAAGCTGGGGAGGACGTTGACGGCGAGGAGCTCCTCCTGCCCTTCGCCGACAGCGCTCAGGCTGCCGATGCGCACGTGTCCCGCATTCTTCCGATGGTCTTTATGCAGTACAAATATATATTGTGCATAGAACCCTCTATTAACTGCCCCGTGGCTGAGTTGGTTACAGCGTCCGACTGTTACGCATCCCATGGATACGGTGCGATCGGAAGGTCGTGAGTTCGAGCCTCACCGGGGCAGCTGCTTTTTGCATTGGTCCCACTTGCCCTCCTCGCCAACCCCGGGGATCATAATGCCCTGCTATTTCCCTGCGCTGGCGAGTACTGCGAGGTGCACGCATTCGCACAAGCCAAAAGCTTGAAAGTGGATGAGAATGGCACAGAATCGTACTGCAGTACAAACTTTCTGGCAGGCGAAGCCTGAGCGTAACATACAGCATGCCACCCAAAGCGGCTTTGCATGAGGACCCATTACATCAATGATATATTGTAAATGACAGCAAAAATGCGTCACTCACCTCGGACTGTTGCTGAAAGCTTGCTCAGTGTTGAGCAGGGCTTGGCACGCAGCGGAAAGCCCGCTAGGCTCAGCTTACCTGTGGAGCACTTGGTAGAGGCGCACACGTAGTGGTTGAGAGAAGAAAGCGACTTAGA